GGAGCCTGAGCTATGTTTACGTTCCCGTATTTCATTGCACTTGTCAATTTTTTTTAAAAGGCAGATGTGGATAGAATTTGTAAAATAAAAATACTAAGATAATCTACCTAAAAACCTAAAATTTTCCCACTGTAGCTAAATTAAAAAGTCCTAGAAATCAAATAGTATAATTTTTTAAATGGCTGCAAAATTAAGCAAGCTTAATGATATCCTTAAGGTAAATAGACAAGTAGAGAAACCCCAGACCTATATCAAATTTACATAGTCAACAAATAGCATATGAGTAGGCAGAGAAGAAACCTACTTCAGATTCAAATGCATAAAAAGCATTTCTGGGATTGGGCCCCAGATAAAGATCTCAATATACCTTAGTGATTTCTGATTAACCATTGGTAAAATAGTAATTTCCTTGAAGTTTGGATAAATTTAAATTAAGTTTTATAAACTCTTAGTATCCAAACCCAGGAAGTTTTAGTTCAGTTTAGGCAAGGTAATTTCTCATGTGTCTCTAAGGGGCAAAACAAAGATACTGACAATGACAATAATTGGTTATTCACAATTTTAATTTTTATTACATAAGTAAACTGAAGGTGTCAACCATACTTAATAAACACAACTATTCTGAGAACTTGTTATATTCCAAAGGTGATTATTTCTATCTTTCTTGTATACTTGTCATTGGTACATTCTAAGAATTATTTTGTATACCAATCACTTCCCAGCAAATATACAAAAGAAATGCGAAGTTAAATTTTTAAAAAATGCACTGGTATTCAACAACTATCTCACTCCACATATAACAAAATGAGAAGATAAAATATTGTTGTCATCATTAATTTTTGGACATCAGGAACTAGTCAGACCTCTGCATATCATTTTGTATATATCTTTCAAAAATTTAATATCACATGTTACCTGAACTGTTTATGATATTCTCCTGGCCTGAGACTTGCAGCTCGGTCATTGGGAAGGGCTATCAGTGCACCTTTCATTGACTTTTCATTTGACTGATGATCATGAAGGTGTGTCCTCGTTGATTGAAGCATTGCTACAGATCCACAGTCCTTATATTTTAACAAGTCTTTGGCCACAAATTGTCCCGTGGGATTACTGATCAAAGGGGATATACCTTTTGTAAAATTGAATGGTAAAATTACATATGGTACTTGGAATTCCAGCTTTCAAAAAGATAGCCATTTATTAATCAATGCAAGATAATTGGTTTTAATTTAAATATTAAGCCCAAAACAAACACATTCAGAAAATACAAATTAATATGTGGATCTATACAAAGATATTTAGCAATTAAT